CGGTTTTCGGGCTTCTGCGCCACCCCCGGGCTGCAGCCGGGCAGGCCACTGTCTCCTCCTCAGCACTTGCCGTTTCTGCCTCAGCCTGTGTGTGCTTGGCCAGTGGGAGGGCTCTGGCCTGTCGTTGGCCTCACGGTCTTGTGTCCCCCTGCTCTGGAGGGTGGCGCGGCTTCTCTCTGGCTCGCTGGGCCGGGGCCAGCCCCGCGTTGGGGGGGCAGCAGGCTCTCCTGTGCCCTGCCCCCCAGGGACTTCCAGGGCTCTGAGGAAGTGGGGGCTTCAGGCAGGACTGGTTTGAGCGTTTTCTGCCACTTAACTTACTTCCTAGGTGACAGTGGCCAAGTGGCTCTGCCGCTGCGCTGTCCTCGGTGTGTGTCTGTAAAGGGTAGGGTGACAGCTTCCAGGAGGGAGCTCAGCGAGCTCGCGGGGCGGTACTTAGAAGAGCACAGGCCAAGCCGCCTCTTAGCACTCGGACCCAGCTCAGGGCAAGTGGGAGGGGTGGGGCTCCCTGCGCCGGGCCCCGTGGGCCCTCTCCTGAGGGGCCGCTCAGGCCCGCCGGCAGAGGAGCCAGCTGGGCCCGTCCCTCCTGCCCCCTCTCCTCCCATGCCCCGCGCAGGTAAGTGAGGGGGAGGGGGGGCACAGCCGGGGGTCGGGGCCCCCCCCACCCCGGGCCCCCCCGAGCCCCTGAGGGGGGAGGCCGGGGCTGGGGAGGGGCCGGCAGGTGACATGCTGAGGAAACCTTTGGGTGCCCGAAAGGGGGGCGCCCACTCCCTGCGCGTGGGGCCCTCCCGTGCCCGCCCCCCGCCTCATCGCGTTCTCCTCTTGTCTCCGTAGCTTCCGCCCTGCGCTGCCAGTCTCCTACCTGCAGGCCGAGCTGGCCTTCGAGGGCGAGGCCGCCTGCCGGGCCTTCCTGGAGCCCCTGGGCCTGGCCTACACGGGCCCGGACAACTCCAGCGTCGACTGCCGCCTCAGCCTGGCGCAGCTGCCGGCCTTCTGAGCACCAGTGCCGCCGGGGGGGCGGGGGGCAGGGCTGCAGCCCCCCCAGCGCCACCTCGGCGGGTTTTGTTTTTGAGCCGCGGACTTGGGTTGTAAATTAATTTGCGGGGAGTGGGCTCCAGGAAGAGCCACCAGCCCGGCCCCCATTTTCCCACCGGGGAGTCTGTACAGAGATTTTTCTACATTTTTATTTTTGCCTCTGAGGGATGGGATTGGGGGCGGGGGGACAGCGGAGGGTTGGGGGCATGGTCTGTAGTAGGGTCGTCTGTGTCCACCTTGCACCTCCACTAATGCTGTCTCAGTGTTTTTTCTCTCTCTCTCTCGAGCTTGTACTCCGATAGCGACCCGGCACCCTGGCCCATCCCATGCCGGGGGGGCCAGTGGAAGAAGACAGGCCGCTCCGCCCGTGCCCGCCTGCGGCAGGGGCACCAGCACACCAGCCCACTGCCCGCCGCCTCATCTGCCTCACCACAGACTCTTGTTGCCCAGCCCTCCGGGGCCTCAGTGTTTGGGGCGAGGGGAGCCGCGTAGAGACTGTGCCCTGCCCGTGGCCCCCGACCCCAGAAACGCCAACGCCTCGCCCCCGCCAGATCCACACTGCCAGCCTGCACTGAGGACTCCGGAGGCCACCGCGGGACCTCGACGGCCGGGCCGCCTCGTCTGCAGTTGTATTAAGTTGTCTCCGTGTCCCTTCCCCCCTCCACCCCAATGTTTCTTCTGGTTTTTCCCCCTTTTCCCTCCCGCCGCCTCCTGCTCCCGCTCTCCCTTGGTTCAGCACAGGTAAAACGGTTACCCTCCCTCCCCGCCTCATGGATCACCAGCTCACGTCATGTTTCCTTCTCTTTTCTTTTTGTGTGTGTTTATTTAAGTTATTTTTTCTTCCTCCCCTTTTCTTTTCCGTCCTCCCTCCCTCTTCTGCCATGTAACTGGAGGATGTGCAATGAGTTTGCAAACAGCTGGACTGTCAGGCTGCTTTTTTTCCAGATGTTCCTCCTTTGCCTCCCCTCCCCCTCCTCTCCCCCTCCCCTTTCCTTCCTTCATTCTTTCCTTGGAACACTGAGCACCATTTGGAAGCTTGAGAGAAACCAAAATTAAAGAGAGAGAAAGAGAGAACACGGGTGCACGCTTTGTCCTTCTGCCCCGGGCCAGAGTTCCTCTGGGGGTCTGGGTCCTGGCCTTTCTTTCTTTTGGCGTTGAGATACCAGGGGGATCTCCGCCACGGCCTGGTAGGTGCCCCCTGACCTCCCCACGCGGCACAGCCAGAGTTCCCCCAGAGGTTGGCTCCCCAGCTCCTGCTTTGGGCTGAACCCAGGCTTGGGGAGGCCGACTTGGGAACCCTGGGGCACCTTGGCCAGGGTGAGGTGGGGGTGTAGCCCCCTGCAGGGCTGCAGCACTCTCAGCCCCTCAGCCTCCAGCCTCTGGCTGAGCGCTTGGGCCATGTTCTCCAAAGGGGGGTCGGGGGGAGCACAGAGCACACGAGAGCCCAGGAACACGAGGCGCCTAAACCTCAGCCTCAGAGGGACCTGAAGCCCGGGGTCCGAGAGCACGCCTCTGAGTGCGTCGACCGCAGCCGCCATCTCCCCGGGGCCCGCCAGCCTCAGCAGGGCCACTGTCAGGTGCAGGGCCTGAGCAGGCACTATGAACGCCGCGCAAGCTGGTGCATTTCGTACCAGTTCTGCTTGGACCTTGGCCACCCCGGCCTGCAGCTCAGCCTCTGTCACCATGAGGGCCACGAAGTGCGTGGGGCGGGGCTGGCGAGGGCCCACGGCCCCGGCTGCTCCACCGTCCACGGGCCAGACCCCGGGAACCCAGTCCACTTCCGTCTTAGACAGGCCTTCCGAGGGCCTTCCCGGGGCTACCACAGCCGGCAGCTCCCCACCCGGGGGCTCCAGGTCCCTGGCAGCGGCGGCGGCTGGCTTCAGCGCCCTTTTTGGCTGCATCCACGGGGAACCTTGGCCTCCAGGGCCGCCCAACTCCCGCTCCTGGATCCTCGATACCGTCCCCGCCAACGCCAGGCGCCCAGCTTCGGGGCCTCCGCCATCCGGGGCCAAGGCGGCCCGGAGTCCCGTCCAAGCTGGCTGTACGCGCCCTCCCGCACCGGTGCCAAGACGGGTCGCAGCTACGCCGTCCAGTGCGCCTCCGGCCCCGGCCGTGTCCCCACCGCTGAGCGCACCTCCGGCACCGTACGCGTCCTCGCCGTCACTCTCGTCCCCGGTCCCGGTCCCATGCACCTCCCCGCCCCTGTCTCCGCCGTCGTGCGCGCCCCCGGTCCCGTGCGCGTCCACGCCGTCGCTCTCACCTCCGGCATCGTGCACGTGCTCGCCGTCGCTCGCATGCCCGGTCTGGTGCGCGTCCTCGCCGTCGCCCTCCTCTCCGACACCGTGCGCGTCCCCGCCGTCGAGCGCGTCCAGGATGGTGGACCCGCGGCCCGCAGCCAAGCCCGAGCCGAAGACGAGGTCCGTACGCGAGGCGCGGTCCCACACCAGACGGCCGCGGAAGCGGAAGTAGCGCACCCGGTGCTGCGGCACGGCCAGAACGCCCGGCCCGAGCGCCGCCAGAGGCTCGTCCCAGCAGAAGGCAAGGAAGGGCTTTTCGCGCGCGCCCAGGAAGCGGTCGACGTAGCCCACGGAGAAGTCGGCCGGGTCGAGGCGCGGGTCCCAGCGGATGCGCTGGATGACAGCCGCAGCCGTGCGCAGCGGCGGCTTCTTGGCTTTGGCCTCTGCTTCGGGCTCGCTTCTAGGCTGCGGCGGCGGCGCCGGCGCCCGCGCCCCGGGGTGGGGCTGGCGGCAGCGGGCACCGAAGCGGCAGCGACCCTCCAGGAAGAAGCGGCAGGCCGGCGGCGGCGCGGGTTCCGCGCCGGGGGGCCCCACGGGCGGCTCCGGCCCTCCGGCCGCCGCCATGGGAGTCGGGTGCGGCTGGCGCGCTCGCCCCGCTCAGGCCGTTCCGCACCTGGGTCAGTCCTGCCGGCTCGGGCGCCAGGCACCGCTGTGACGTCACGGGCGAGGTTCAGGCCCCGCCCCGACCTGGAAAGCACCTCGCGCGTCAGACGGCCCTCCGCGGTGCCCTGGGGGCGCCTGACCCTTGCAGCCAAGCGGTTTTTATCTGTGGCCCCCGACCCCAACCCAATAATTTACATATGAGGCCCCGCCCCCACACTCCAAATACCTTACAGGTGCGGCCCCGCCTCTTCTGGCCCCTTAGCGAGCTTGGCTCCGCTCCCTAATGATTTACAAGTGCGGCCCCGCCACTCTTGCTCCTTAGAGAAGCTGGCCCCGTCCCTAGTCCAGTGCTTTAACTCTCCTGGTCCCTGACGAGCCTGGCTTGCACACCCCGCATGCCTAATGATTTGCATGTGCTGTCACGCCCCTCCGGGCACTCGTTGGGCCGCGCCCTCCGCGGGACAACCGGACGCCTGTAGGCTCAGAACGAACTTCGTAGCACGGATTTGGGACGCAACTGTTGCCCTCGGGATGACACATCTTTGGGGCGTCCCTTTTCTACGGGGACCACGCCTCTTCCCGGCCACTTTTCCTGTGCGGCCGCTCCCAGGGTAAAGGACAGCTCGCCGGGGCTGGGTCCACTGGAGACGCGGAGCTCACGGGGTCACAGCCGTCGGCCGGCCCGAGGGAGCGAGTCAGACCGGGCCCGGGGCCGCGTCCGGCAGGCGGCGGCGGCGCGCAGCCAACACTGCTGAAAAAACCAGGCTCTGGGAGCGGCCACTTCGGGACCCCGCCCCTGGGAGGGGCACGGCCCAGCCACGCCCCTGGCTCTCTTAAAGGGGCCGCATCTCACTACATCAGGTTAATCCTGAGACCTCCACCCACCTGGCTGGGACCGGAACCCCACGTGACACACCTAGCTCTTAAAGGCGCCAGGACCCCATCACCCCTCCCCGTCCCCCCTTCCCACATGCAAAGTAAACAGACAAAACCCGGGGCACAGACCTTGTCGGTTTATGTATAAAGAAGTGGGGAGCTGGACGGTAAGGGCGCAGGGAATGGGGGTGCCTACAGGCCGATGACGTCGTCCAGCTCGAGATCCGCGTTGGGGAGGCAACGGGCCCTAGGGTGCTGCGCCCCGGGGCCGGGGTCCACGTCGGGCTTGGCGGCGGCGGCGCCCGGACGTTCCGCGTCCATGACGCCCAGCACTGCGTCCAGCATGGAGGGGCCCAAATCCAGGTGGAAGGACAGCAGCGGGTCGGCGGGCGCTGGCGCGCGGAGGGCGGGCGGCGGCGGCTGCGGCACGGCGGGCGGCGACGCGGAGCGCGGGGCCCCCGCGGGCGGCGGCCGGGGCTCAGGGGGCGGCCCGCCACCGTGGCGGCTCAGGAACGAAGTGTCTCCGAAGGCGTCGCCGCCGCGCCCCACGTGCAGAGTGTGCCGGAAGTCGCCGAGCGGCGCGGAGATGGACAGAGCGCCGCGCTCCGGCCGCTTCTTGGGCTGCGCGGGGCCCAGCTGCTTCAGGACCGGCATCTGTGGGATAGGGACGGGTTAGCACGGCCTCCCCCGGGAGGACGCTACCGAGGCCTTCCGTGTTCCCAGCCCTGGGCGTAGCACACCGTTCAGAGGATGCTCTCCATAAGTACAGGATGATGGTGGTGGGATTACTCCCATTTTACAAGTGGGGAAACTGAGGCTTCCAGAGGTCCGAGGTCACAGCTGCTTGATTCAAATCTCAGACTCAAATTTAGGTCTGCCCATATGTTAATTCCACTAAGAACTAACCTTTGAGCTTTTTATAGGTCAGAGAACAAGCAACATGCTTCACCAAGCCTTTTGGACTGCTCCCCAAACTTGACAGAAACTCCAGCTTAAACACAGGGCCATGCACTGTGAAGACAGGGCGGACTCTGTCCTTTAGGTGCCACAGACACAGTGCCCAGGGCCCGCCACACTTCTAGAGGCCTGCACACGTTTAAACGTTTTATTATTATTTTTTTGAACCTCTTGTCCTTTATTGAGGCCACTGGTCCCCAGGTCCCGCAGGGCCGGGACACAGGCCCAGGTCTTCCTCTCCAGCCCCGCCGCCTTTGGGGCCTGCAGAGCCCACAAAACTCCGGGGAGCGCAGATGAGACCCTCCCCCTCAACACATGGTGTACAGAAGCCCCTTCCCAGACGGGGCTGCCGTGTTTTATTTTAAAAGGTCTGGATTATGTTTGTCTTTATACCAATGCAGTCGTAAAATATAATTATGATATATATATATATATACATATATATATATATATATATGATTATCTCTATGAAAGCTTTGCCTAGAACACATAAAAGTCATCATGTAGGCTGGCCTGAGGACTGTAATTTGGGAGATTTAGGGTGGGCCTGGGAAATCTATATATTTGCACAGCATTTTATAATTTGAATTATCTGGTTTTGAAAGAAACATGTAAGTCTTACTTCTTGGAAAACAAGAGTAACAATAATAATCATGCAAATTTTCCTATGTTAAAACATGGCAAGAATGGCATAAATTCCAAACTGGCAGCTCATGAACTGTAAACTAGGTGCCCTGCAGCTACATGACTGCATCAGACTCGATGGTAAATAGATATGCCTGCCAACCTTTGCCCATATCCTGGAACTTGGCTGTTTCTATGGAACTTCTGGGAGGGACTTTGATGACCTTGTACTTTTGTTTTAACAGTCACTGTTATTATAATAATAACAATTAAAAAAAAAAACCTTTCCATTTGAATTGAAGCCCCACCCTTTGCCAACTGTATGAATTGGGATAAATTATGTGATTGCTCTCTGTTTGTTTTCTATCTGGAAAATGGATAAAATAACACTACCTTCCTTGCAGGACACAGAAATATTCAGTCAAAGAAAACTATATTTTTAACAGTTCCAGCCAATTGATAGTGTTAGTGCTGGGGAGGGGCATGTGTTCCCAAACAAAACTGTGAAACAAAATTTAGATCAAATCCTACGAAGCAGGCAAAGCAGCCAGCCTTGTCCTTTCAGGGACCAGCAAAATGGAAAAGATCAGTGATAACGTGGAGAAAAATTAAAGCCAAAAGGATTTGAAATAATTATAGATGGATATGTTCTGAGAGCTGCCTTCTCCCCTACCCAAAGCACGGGCGCGTGTGCGCGCGACACACACACACACACACACACACACACACACACACACACACACACACACACTTTAGAGTTACTTCTCTGGAAAAAACAGTCTTGAGTTACCACCTCTGTCGTGTTTCTCAGACTTCCCTGACCTCAACCTAGATGAATAAATATATTTTATTGCAATCTGGCACACAGTCACCATTCCTTCCCCACCCACGACCACACCCCCCCCTACATAAGGGAAACAAACATTTTGTGAATTGAGACCTACTCTTATCTCATGCTAGGCACTCAGTTTCAATTCTATTTTATTATTTATTTAATAAATAAATAAATAAATGCCTGCATGATGCATTTACCCTGCACCATGCAGGATCTTAGTTCCCCGGCCAGGGATCGAACCCACACTCCCACACTGCCCACCCCCACCCCCCCGGAGTGGAAGCACGGAGTCTTAACCACTGGACTGCCAGAGAACTCCCTATTTTTCTTTTTTGTTTGTTTTGTTTGTTTGTTTGTTTGTTTTGCGGTACGCGGGCCTCTCACTGTTGTGGCCTCTCCCGTTGCGGAGCGCAGGCTCCGGACGTGCAGGTTCAGCGGCCATGGCTCACGGGGCCCAGCCGCTCCGCGGCATATGGGATCCTCCCAGACTGGGGCACGAACCCGTGTGCCCTGCATCGGCAGGCAGACTCTCAACCACTGCGCCACCAGGGAAGCCCCCCTATTTTACTTTTTTAATGCTGACCTCTGCTCATTAATGAATCTCAATCCACAGTTTAAAAAAAAAAAAAAATCCTGTCTCAGAGCTAGCAGCACCCCTTATCCCTGGGCAGTGATTCATAGTTCAAAAGAGCAGAACTCAGAAAGCCAACTACCCAGACTTGGATCTGACTGTGCCCACTGCTGTGTAACTTTGGGCAAATTACTTAACCTTTCTGACCTCACTTCCTCATCTCAAAAATGGAATGACACTCATATAATAATTCAGTCTCTTTGCAAGAATTGGGGAGATGTTGCCCATGGAAAGTCTTAGCACAGTAGCCAGCGCACAGCAAATGCTCAATAAATGCTCAGTGGGGTCCTACTTTGGATCATTCTCCCCTGTCCCAGAGAAGGAAACAGATGCTCAGAGATGGTACATGACTTGCCCAAGGTCACAAAGCCAGCTCTGTGGGACTCCAGAGCCCAGAGTTACTGCTTCCACTGCCTGCTGTCCCTTGAACTGGCTCCTCCCTGGACGGCTCTCAGCTATTGCCTCTTCTCCCTGCCCACCCCCTACCTTGCCCCTCATCCCATCCTCCTATCACCCTACAAGGTGACATCACTGACACTTTCCAGCGCTTAGCAGCATATTAAGATCTTGGTTTCTGACACCAAACACAACAGGTTTGCCATTGCCTTTCTATGGGACCCGGAACTAACTTCCTCAGCCTTAAGCCTTAGTTTACTCCTCTGAAAAACGGGAAATCAGAATGCCTGTTTGCAAGGGGTTGTCGTAGAGTATACGCATGATGCTGACATTTTATTTCCCGAGGACTTATTCTGGGCCAGGCAGGGGTCTAAGTGCTTCACACAAATGAATGAACTCATTTAATCCTTGGAACAACCCAGTGAGGGGAGACCGTTGTTATTTTGTCCCTTTTACAGACGTGGGTGGCACCCGAGGCACAGAGAGGTGAAGTAACTTGCCCTGGATCACACAGTAGCAAATGTTGGGGGCTGAATTTGGAACCCAGGCAGATGAACTCCGGAGTCAAAGGATGATATGATACTGCTCACAGCCCCCAAAGGATAGGGTGTGCAGACCCATGGAAAAAATAAGGTTTTGATATCAAGGCCAGGGATTTCCTACACCCTTGACTGTTTGTTTGTTTGCTTTGCTTTTTTCTTTTTCCCATTCTAGATAAGAACAATGAGTTCAAAATTTTTTTTTTTTTTTTTTTTTGTGGTACGCGGGCCTCTCACTGTTGTGGCCTCTCCCGTTGTGGAGCACAGGCTCCGGACGCGCAGGCTCAGCGGCCACGGCTCACGGATCTTCCTGGACCGGGGAACGAACCCGCGTCCCCTGCATCGGCAGGCGGACTCTCAACCACTGCGCCACCAGGGAAGCCCCAAAATTATTTTTGAAAGCTACCACTTCTCGCTAGTTCTGAGACCTCAGGGGCCAGTCACTCCACTTCTCCGAGCCTCCGTGTCCCCTTGAACAGAAGGCTCTATCTCCCTTGCTGTGTGCTTGATGCAATGAGGTCATACTCGGAAAAAGGCCGTCACAGGCCCAAGCTCTGTACAGAGGGGCTGCTGTTATGACAATCTTAAAGCAGGCAGAGGGCAGGAGCCAGGATGGGACCCTGGGACGCGGCGATCGCGCGCGCTCGCTAAGCCACCTTCCTCCCGCCTCCACCCGCCCCCTCTCTTTCCGGGCCGAGGCTCCAGCTGCAGCGGTGGGGGGCACAGCTGGCTCACCTCTGCCCTCTCCGGGCCCCAGCCCCGCCAAGAGGAAATAACAACCCACTGCAAATCCGGCCCGACTGGTTCTCAGCCCTTTGGGAGAGGCAACAAGGAGGGTGGGACCCAGACGGGGCAGGGGGACCCGCGATTGGGAGCCCCCGACCCCCTCGGGGCTCCAGTGCGCGCTTCCTGAGGCCACGTGGCTGCGGCCCAGGATTTCAGCGGCCGCGGCCGCCGTCCTTTTGGCCAGCTGTCCGGTTCCCCTCCAGACCTGACCGGGGACCCTGGGCCACCACTGCCCCGTACCTCGTGGTCCCCGCTGAACCAGGCAGGCAAGCTCTCAGGCTCCGGCTCAAGCTGGGAACCCCGTCTTCTTGGTTCAGAGCCCGCCTCCGCCTCCCAGTCCCAGGCCCGCGCTTGCTCCCTTCTTCCTCCGGGCGGGATCTCACCTGGCAAAGGAAGTGTCATGCGGAACCTGGAGGGGCATCCAGGACCCAGGCGGCCGGGCCCAGGGTGCCACCTCCTTCTCTCTTAGGTTCCGTTAGTCCTGGCTCCTAGCTCTTGATCCTTAGCCTCAGGAGTCCAGGCCCCCAGGCCCTCCCCGCCTCAGACCCAGGGATCCAGGCCCCCAGGCCCTCCCCACCTCAGACCCAGGGGTCCAGGCCCCCGGCCCCTCCCCGCTCAGACCCAGGGGTCCAGGCCCCCGGCCCCTCCTCCCTCAGACCCAGGGGTCCCGGCCCCCAGGCCCTCCCCCCCTCAGACCCAGGGGTCCAGGCCCCCGGCCCCTCCCCGCTCAGACCCAGGGGTCTGAGCCCCAACCCGGGCAGACCCTGGCATGGAGTCCCTTCTTTACCTGCACCGAGATCTGAAGTGTCAGCCCCTCTCGGGGGCCATGGTAGGAGCCCAAAGGGGCGCAGAGTCACGCCCAATCCAGCTCAGTCTGTCTGGGGCA